CCAACAAAGTTGTTCACCTCACCCTCAGAAGTGGGTTTGGAGTAGCTTTAAAAAAAAAAACTCAACCAGTGGTTGTCCCAGTGGACCAATCCTGGTTGGGATCAAATCCAAAAGTAACTACTAGGATGCAGTCCCATCACAAAGAAATCTTTTAGGTAATTCTATAATTGTTGAAACTGATTTAGTTTGGTTGGACATAATCCTGGGGGGGGGGGATTAGATATGATGGCAGTCTGAGGCTCTGGAACCCGTAGATTTTATGAATCAGATAACTTTGGTGTGGAAGATACCATGTTTGGTGACATAGCTAAATTATGTTATAGTGCTGAAGCTCCTTAGCATACTCATATGAGTAATATCAGTATTTGTTCAAGTTAGAGAAGACAATCTTGCTGATACTCTTCTTGATTAAAAAAAATAATAATACCAATCAATTGGTGGGAGATGGTCTAACATCTATAAAAAAGAAAAGTGGTAGCAGATTCTCACTTTAGCCCTTTTCTGAGTGAACCATCTCATATACAATTTCTTGAGGGATCCCAAGAGGGACTGTCTAATGCAGTAAAGTACCAAAAGAAATTGATGATAAGGGTGTATAGTATTTTTTCCAAAACTTCCATCAAAGAGTTCAGACAGTTCTCCATACAACAAGAAACAGAATTTCAAGAAGGAAAATTGTTGGCAATCAAAACTACCAATGCTTTTTATCTACCCCTTTGAGAAGGGAGAAACTCAAAACTGCCTCCACATCCAGAATGCTTTTCCAAAAAGACATTGGCACAAATTCATGTACCAACCTCCTCTTGTGTGAAACACTTCTGAGAACTTACATAGTGTCCTCTTTTACTGAAAGCACCTTCACTAGCTATGGTGTACAACCTGAGAACCAGGTCTACAGAGAAAAAGAATTATATACAAGAACTACAGAGAACTATATACAACCTGAGAACCAGGTCTGCAGAGAAACAAAAATCCTTTGTAAGAATTTGGGACTGGCTACCCCAAATTCTTGCAACAACAACAAAAAATCCCTTACCAGGGGGGCATCATTGCCAGAAACTTTTGATTAAATATTATGGGTCATTTGAAAGACATATCTGAGAAACTAGTGCAAAATATATATTCAGGAATAGAGAAACTGAATTATACAAACAGCAATTACTGTTTGTAACTGTCAACAGGAATGTGGGCTGTGCAATGAAGTGGGTCATGTACATTAATGTCAGGTAGAGTGAAAAGTCATTGAACCAAAACAAGGGGAGAATGCTGACATGGGAAAGTTTTGTTCCCATGATCTTGTTGTTTAAAGAAGAAACAAAATGTAGAAGAAACTCAAAACAAAGAGTCCAGTATTTTGTCAGATAACAACTTGCCCTGGGGAATAAAAGAAAAAGGTTGCCATGCCTTTTTCTGAAGTGCAATAAATAAGAGTGTTCCAGGAAAAGGTTTGAAAGCTGTGCTGTTTGAGAGAAAAAAAAGCGCTCCTTGCGTTTCCTGTCTTGCAAGTGCACAAGTGTCAAGAATTTATTACATAGCTTCTGAGGAAGGGGCGTCAAGGTTGTAAGATGCATGCAAACCCTTGGAAGCTGGGTGGATTTTGACAAGTGAGGTGGCAGTGCAAATTGGCAGTCGAACAGATTGACATCTCCAGGTTTGGTAGTGAGAGTGTCTGATTTGTTTGGTTTGACTTAGTTGTTTAGAGTTTTTAGCTAATCTCAAAGATATCACTCGGTTGTCTTCTTGTTGAATAGATTTTGTCATTAGGATCTTTGGTTTGACGTCTTAGCAATTTTGTTTAAAAAAAAATAAATGCAATGTTGTAAACAGCAGTTTTGAGTAATTGTGAAAAAGAAAAAAGTACAGGAACAAATCTTGCAAAAACATGGTTGCCAAAAATAAGGTACATGACACGTGATTCAATCTGGATCTTTTTGTGATTGATTGCGTTCAGAACAAGTCCACTACAACGAAGAAAAACAGCAAAAACAACAACGACCGCAACGACGTCCAACCACGGACAGTCTATACTACCTTGACCATACGCTGTTGGACACACGACTGTTACACGGCAACCGGTTCTATTTTGACAAAAAGGTAACTTTTGTAAGAACTGAAATGTTCCTGGACTGTGTTCTGCTCCAGGGATTGCAGGTAAGAAGAAAAACATGACATAGTGAGGTTGTGTCATCATTGTTCCATTTTTCTTCTTGTTGGGTGTACCTGTGTGTTGACCATTCCCATTCTTTCTGGTGGCCATGATGACATTTGCTTCACAGAAACGGAACCACAATTATTATGCACTGAGCTCAGGATATTCATTCAAATCTGCTTTTACTATAGTGAAGCATTTTCTGATGGAACGGGAAGGAAGGAATTTAATTTTTACCAGTCTATGCACAAAACTTTTTTTTTTTTTTGTTTCGCGGAAAGAGGAAAACCTGCTTCCAGGGTAGACACTAGACAGACAACGGAATACCTTTCAAAATGACCGGAAAGCCAAGCCAGGAACCGGTTTTTTGAAGAGTTATCCTTCAATGATTTTATCATGAAGCATCTCTATATAGAACCAAATCTACCATGCAAGGAGAAAAATTATTTTTTCTTTTCTGGTACACAATTCCAATTAATTGGAAAATTACCGCAAGAAACACGCTTTGCGAGAAAATTTTTTTTTCAATCAGTCCACTATGATTTTGGATCAGCAGCGGCAGCCGCAAACACGCATTTGTGCTTGAGTTCCGGGCGCCAGAAAACAGCCCCCATATGAAGAAAACAGCGCCGTTTTCGTCACCCTGTGTGTACATAAAAAAAAAAATATATATATATATATATACATATATAGTGTACCTGTGTGTTGACCATTTGCATTCTTTCTGGCGGCGATGACGACGAATTGGTTCACAGAAACCGAACCACGATTATTATTCACTGAGCTCAGGATATTCATTCAAATCTGTGTTTACTATAGTGAAGCATTTTCTGATGGACTGGGAAGGAAGGATTTTTTTTTTTACCAGTCTATGTACAAAACTGTTTTTTGCAGGGAAAGAGGAAAGCCTGCTTCCAGGATAGACAGATGATGGGAAAGCCAAGTCAGGTACCGGTTTTTTGAAGAGTTCCTCCCATGATTTGTCTTGTTCAGGTGATGTTGCTTCTTTTTGTCGTTTTTGTTGTTGCTGGCGTTGCTGCAGGTTGGTGCCTGTCAGATATGATGGAACTGGTATGCGACAACCTGTGTGCTGACAATGTGCCGTTGGCATTCTATTTTGACAAAAAGGTAACTTTTGTAAGAACTGAAATGTTCCTGGACTGTGTTCTGCTCCAGAGATTGCAGGTAAGAAGAAAAACATGACATAGTGAGGTTGTGTCATCATTGTTCCATTTTTCTTCTTGTTGGGTGTACCTGTGTGTTGACCATTCCCATTCTTTCTGGCAGCCATGATGACATTTGCTTCACAGAAACGGAACCACAATTATTATGCACTGAGCTCAGGATATTCATTCAAATCTGCTTTTACTATAGTGAAGCATTTTCTGATGGACCGGGAAGGAAGGAATTTAATTTTTACCAGTCTATGCACAAAACTGTTTTTTTTTTTCGTTGCACGGAAAGAGGAAAACCTGCTTCCAGGGTAGACAGACAACGGAATACCTTTCAAAATGACCGGAAAGCCAAGCCAGGAACCGGTTTTTTGAAGAGTTCCTTCAATGATTTTATCATGAAGCATCTCTATATAGAACCAAATCTACCATGCAAGGAGAAAAATTATTTTTTCTTTTCTGTTACACAATTCCAATTAATTGGAAAATTACCGCAAGAAACACGCTTTGCGAGAAGAGTTTTTTTTTAATCAGTCCACTATGATTTCGGATCAGCAGCGGCAGCCGCAAACACGCATTTGTGCTTGAGTTCCGGGCGCCAGAAAACAGCCCCCATATGAAGAAAACAGCGCCGTTTTCGTCACCCTGTGTGTACATAAAAAACAAATATATATATATATATATATATATATATATATATGCATATATAGTGTACCTGTGTGTTGACCATTTGCATTCTTTCTGGCGGCGATGACGACAAATTGGTTCACAGAAACCGAACCACGATTATTGTTCACTGAGCTCAGGATATTCATTCAAATCTGTGTTTACTATATAGTGAAGCATTTTCTGATAGACTGGGAAGGAAGGAAAAAAAAAATGGTCAGATACATGTTTTGACAAAAAACGTCCCTTTCTCCTTTCGGACGAAGGTCCTATCTGTCTACTACCCTTTCGGTTCAGTCCATGGCCAAAAAACTTCTCAAGGAGGGTACTAATTATCATGAAGCATCTCTATAGAACCAAATCTACCTTAAAAGGAGAAAAAATATATTTTCTTTTCTCCTACACAATTCCAATTAATTGGGGAATTACCGCAAAAAACAGGTTTTGCGAAAGGAGTTTTTTTAAATCAGTCCACTATGATTTCGGATCAGCAGCCGCAGCCGCAAACACGCATTTGTGTTTGAGTTCCGGGCGCCAGAAAACAGCCCCCATATGAAGAAAACAACGCCGTTTTCGTCACCCTGTGTGTATATAAAAAAAATATATATATATACATATATATGGTACCTGTGTGTTGACCATTCGCATTCTTTCTGGCGGCGATGACTTTATGTGAGCCCCCTGGGGAGTTGATTTATTTTTTATTTTTTGCTTTTCGGCTCTGGGTCGGGTAGTTTGGCAAACAAACCAACCAACCAACCACCAGGACCAGTTCCACCAGCAGAAGACGTGGTCAGCAGTTTTGACACGTCATGTAGACTTGACTGATGTGTCCATTTATAAATGCTTTTTTTTCTGCTGACGCCGTTATTGAGTTGTTTATTCATTAGTTTAGGAAAAATGTGCGCCAGAAAAAAGTTTTTTTGTCTTGAAAGTATGGTGTTTAAGGTACAAAACAATGAGTTATACTTATTCCTGTCTTTTATATTGCAAAATTATGTGTTCATTCTTGCATTTGTGAATTTGTAGAGGATACTGTGAGAAAAGCTTCTTGGCTCTTCTGTGCTTGTGGCAAATAAGTTGGAATATTTTTACAAAATTGTGTCCCCATAAGCACTGGGGAAAAGAAAACCTCATTTTTGAACCAAGGCCTAAATTGGGTAATCACTCTTATTTCTTTCTCTTCAAGCAGAAAAATTTGCAGTAAAAGTTTTCTCAGTGTCTGATGTTTTTTCCTGCATTCCTCACGTAGGATTGACATGAAAGATTTCTAAAAGCAATAGGACTTTCTCTTCCCAGATTTTTGCTGACTTAAGCCTCTGACATCCAGCAGTTTTTTTTTATTGACTTTAGATGTTTACACCTTCACAAGTCTTTTTAAAGTTTCAGGGAGTTCTAAGTTTCGTTGATTAGTGGTAAGTTCTGAACTAGTTTTACATTACGTAGAAAAGTGTCAAGGTCTTAACTACAAACTGAGAAAGAGATGACTCAAACCAGATAACCTCCTTTCTGCTTTGAAAAGACTGTAATATATAAAAACCATCAAATATGACTGATCAGTTACATTAATATACATGATTTTATCTTCATTCATTTTTTAAGCTCTAAAAGTAGGAAATTGACAGAATTCTGAGATCATGTGATGATACTCTTGGGATTGTGTTGAAGTGTGAATCATTGAAATTATTAAGAATTTCGTGTTTTGATGAATACTGCAAACTAAATAAAATCAAAAGAGTTTTTGAAACTTCGACGGAAACTTTCCCATCAAGTCCATGATGATTATTGAATTCTGCCATTACTTCATTTTTTATTGGGGCAGATTTCAATCACTTTGAAGTCTTCCAACATATGATCTGCATTCACTTGATTTTTAACGCTTATAGTTGGCGCTGCCAGGATTTATTTGCACAATTTTGTCCCATGCACTGGTAAAATAAAAATGAAAATCCTACCATGATCTCAAGAACTAAAGTTTGGAAAATCCCAATTTTTTCCCATTCCTGAATAAAAATGTTCAGGAGAAAAATCATTCACTGCCTGGTGACATTTTTTCTACATTCCAGTCTTAGGATTAGTATGAGGGATTTTGAAGAACTTGGTTTTTGCTCTTAAGGATTTTTCCCAACTTTGGCTCCTTAGCCAAAGCTGCGTTCGGGTTACTTTTGGTCACACGAAAATGCACATGGCCGCAATACTTCTAGTCGTCACGGTGTGTTACCTTTAAATGGACGACGGTGGGTTCCCAATTTTTTACATGGAGTCCTCGTACCGTTTCTTAAATACACTACCCTTCTTTTGAACTCTTTTCGAGACTTGATCACTTTTATTGTTGAAATAAAATACGTCATCCGTGTAATTTTTTGTTTTGTTCTGTGCAAGGGCTATTGGGTGGTAATAGATAATGTCATCAGAGAGCAACATAAGGACAGTTGATCATCAGTTTTTTCATAGGAATTTCACTCAACTCATTTGTAAAATTTATTTTAGCACAGCAGGGGCTGGAGCCAAGACAAAACTATTTGCTCGCTTGCTCCTTTCTGCTGGTGCTGAGGAATTCCATGTTTGCCAGCTTCACACAGGCCATTTGCTCACTGGGAAAGATTGGGCAACCCGCAGTCCACCATCACTAGCTGCATAGCTGTGATTTGGCAGATCCCTTTGGTGTTTTTCCATTGGTTGGTGCATGCGTAACTTGGATCCATACTGAAGAATACAGCTGTGGGGTGATGGAAATTGAAAGCAGGCTGTACATTTACCTGCTCGCAGCAGGAGTGTCTTTACTGGTGATCCTGCAAGCTGTGAATGGTCAACAGGTTCCCCCCAGTGAGTATATGAGTTAGTGAATGACAATGAATATACAATATTGTCAAACCCTGATTTAGTGTCATCACCATTTGTCCTGGCACATTTTGTGGCACTAAGCAAGGGTGTCACTAAATTGGGTATTGTATCAGTAGAATGTTTATTACCTTTACAAGTAATAAAACATGCTTTTTTCAGAATTTCTTGACAAATTAATTAAAGTAAAAGAGTGAAACTGTAAAAAACGTCTATACACAGTTGGAAAATTACTTTCGTGTGTTAAGGTTCTAGTCCACCTCACTAAATTAAAAAAAATTTCTCTGTAGAGTCAATAACTCTACGAGAAATATGCATCCTATAAGTTTAGAAACCATCCAGTTTATATGTGAATACTTAGAAAAAGAATTTTATAAATTATCCTGAGCATCATGCCATGTGATTCTCAGTGAAAACCTGATAATATCATTGAGAATATGCCTAAATTTATCTGATTTTGGCCAATTTTTCATTCAGAAACAGGGACATTTTTGTGGCACTATTTGAGTAAGGCACCAAATTGAGGTTTCCCTCAAGAACACAAATAAGGGAACTGTGTGGCACTATGCAGAGGTGGCACTAAATTGGGGACACTAAATTGAAAGTTGACTGTATTTGATTCAAATGATTCAATCTTATTGTTGAATCCCACAGGCAGCAATAATGCTCCAGCATCTTGCCACAAACCTGAAAATAACTGAACAACGTAGAGTTCCCGTCACTCGGACCGGTTTTAGTACGAAACCGTTCTGAGTGACTCGGAGTGTGTTCTCGTTCTACGTCAGTGTTGAAGAAAATAAAAGGGATTTAGTCGGTTAGAACTCGCAGGAGGAAATCACCTGAATTCCTCCTGAGTTGTGACCCAGTCTGAACACCTGGGGATGAGACCATCATACCTTTCAGAGAGGAGAAGTGTGTGGGAATCTAGTGTCACAGGGCCTTGAACCTTGAAATTATATTATTAATTCTTCTGAACCAACCAAGCAATCTTGCAATTGATTCTGCCATTCCAAACAAGCATTTCATGAACAGCCAAATGATGATCTGGCAATGAGAATGAACTCCTCTGAGAAAAAGTTAGAGTTCTTAAAAACTTGCATTCTGATGGCTGCACAATTCAATTCCTTTACCTGGGATCCAATGGACCAATGACACTCATTTTGAAAAATGCTTATGACACAAAAATGGGCACCACTTTAAACCTACTTGAACAATGGTGCCAATTATTATATTGTGTAATGTGATGGTCATTGCATCCTTATTGTTGCTACCATGACAACAAAGAAATATAAACTATAGTTCAAAGTGTCTGGAAGTGAATTTGCTCTGTTGTGAAACATGTTTAAAACTACAAATTTCACATAATTACGTCAACAGGTACTTATATGTATCAGGATTTGAGAATATGTCTTCATCATCATCACGCTCATTTTTATATAGATTTTACACACATTTTCCAAAAAAGATATCAATGTATATTTAATTATTTCACAGTGAGGGTCGGACCTCTGGGACCCCAGCAACCCCCAGCGGCAGGTAGACCACAAGGACAATTACCTATGTTGTTGTACCAAGGAGGTCGTGTTGTCGTGGTCGGGCCTTAACACTTGGGTCCACCGATAGGACCTTCTTACCATAATGGACCGTGAGGAGGTCCGGTAAGGGTCGTTAAGGTCCACGTGTTTTTTAATGTCCAATGTTGTCCACAATAAAAAGGATTTAAACATCGGAATAAAATCACAATTCAATCCCGAATTCTTTGAAAAGACGATATACACAATTACAGCGTATTCAGCTGGATTCTTCGAGAACATTTTGATTCGAAAATCCAGTTTCACAGTATTGTATCAATAAATGGGACAGGAGCAGCTCATGCCAGAAGGAAATTTTCAACTTGACGTATTTATCTTACATTTGCAGCATTGTGCAGCAAATCACTTGAATTTTTGCTCTAAACTGGAATGCTCAGTTGTGGGTGATTTTGTTTTTGTATATGTATTTTAAGAAGGTACAGCATTCACCAGCAAAATAAAATTTTATTCAAATTTTAATTTGACAGATGACTCGATCTGTTTTTAACCAACATTACTAACAGAATGAAAAAAATCGATGAGCAGGAGATCCATGCGTCATTTCTTTTCTAAAAAAAAAAAATTCCTTCGCTCTTGAAAATAAAATGTAACGTTTTAAAGGTCTTTACCTTTAGCTAAAGGCAACATCGACTTACCTTATTACTTCTTTCCATGTTAAAAAAAAGAAAGCTTTTCCTTAAGATAAAAACAAAAACGAAACGTAGTCCACGGTCCCCCCTCGGCACCAGTGCAACCCTATCCTGGAACCAACATGGATCCCAATGCTAGGTTCGGACAGCAACACGGTGGTGACCAACAACAGGTCGGATATTTTACCAAAAATAATCAGCTGAATCCTGCCAACGACACGAGGCTTCAGCAGCAAGAAACATCTTCTCCACTATCCGGAGGTTGAAAAATGGCTTATATTCATTCATTTTTTTATGGAAGAAAGGAAATTTTCCTCATATTTTTATGATATCAGGTGCTGCTCAATCCGCAGGAAGAAATCCCAGTGATGAACCCAGCGCAGCGTCAGCCGGAAGTCCCCAAGAAGCACCTCCGGAAGTCTTCATCGCCGGGATCGGACTTTTAACTGCGGCCCTTCACTTCCTCATGTAACAGACCATAAAAATACCCTTACCTCAATCAAGGGTTGCGTAAAAAATTAAAGTGCACAATATTTGGGTCCTTGAGCGTGCAAAAGGCAAAGACTGATTCAAAACAAAAAAGACCCGTTTTTGCTCCACGCAGAGTTAATTAGAGCTGATTAAATTCTGCTCTCATATTTGCATGTAAGTAAACGAGTGCATTTTCTCATTTTCTTGACGTTGTGTGAGTGTGTTTAATACAAACTTTACGCGTTGTACAGGAAATAAATTTTTTTCATCAAATGAACAATTCCGGGGAAAAGGAATGAAAATTCGGAGACCCTGGAGTGCTTTAAAAAATGCCGATTAGAAACTTGACCATCATGATATGCAATGTTCAGCATCAATAACATCACCATCATGACGGAAAATAATTTCGATTTCGAACCAGTTTGAGAAAATTTACAATAATTTTTATTCATATCATGAATGAATTGCATTGATTCTAGCAGCTTTTCTTTTCGAAGATCATTGATCCTGATGCAGATTTTGAATATATTCCTTTATAATGTTCTTCAACCACGATTGATCAATAATTGATGGATGAATTCCTAAAACCTCCCTCTAGACATTTGAAAATTGGAGATTATTATCATGAACCATTCATTTGACGAAGTTCCATTACAGGTGTGCACGAACATCGGAAGACTTCACTATCATTGAAGCCATTAATGTGCCAAATCCATTGAATAAAACGGCGCGGCCCAATGGTGTTTCACACGGGAATCGCCAAATACAGCATGCGCAAAGTTTCCATTGGTTTCATAAATATCCGAAATTTAAACCCTAGTGTGGTACACACACGATACATCAAAAAATAAAATAAAAGAGGACACCACGCAACTCCTTAAATCGGCGTTATAAACCCTCAAGAATTTCCCCACACATGTGTCAATCATTTTTTCATTCAAGATTATTCACAGCGTCATCAATAAAACCAAATTTCGAATGCATGTAAGAGGTTCATCCATGAAGTTAAGAGATTCAAAATTGGGTTAATGAGCAATTATTTGACTTTTTCGGATAGATAAAAAACCTTTTAATCTATTCTTGCGTCTCAGCAAAAGCATCAAAGCGGGCACAAAAGTTTTAATTAGAATCTGACATTCAAAGGATAGCATTTGATTGATTTACCGACAGAAATGCCAATTCTCAACGAAATCCTTCTCATAATAGACGGTTTTCTCAAGAAAAGTTCCTGGCAAAATGTTTTTATAGTAGAATATTCTTTTTAATACAAGCGTAGTAAGAGCAATGAAAACTGTATCAACGCAGAAAAGAGGAGAATGATAAACATAGGAATTGTAAAATACGATGAAATCGAGAAACGCGCAATGTTTGTGCACGTATCTATACTCCATTAGCAATATACATTTTGAATATACTATCCCAACGTATTGCTGAGAAATGATTTTAAAAAAAATTGCGAACGGATTTTTTCATTGTATTTCGAAAGAAATGTCTTAAAATTTTTAATCCGACAGAGCTTCGTAGGATAACCATTTCATGTGTCAAAAAACAACAGCGAATTCAAAAAAGTAACAAAAATGACCTCTGATGCAATTTTATGAAATTTTCAACAAAAATGCGCATACTTGAACAGGCCCAATATAATGTTGGATCATTGTATTGATTCAAACTTTTCGCATTTGTATCGATGTATTCAGGAATTCTGCTAGTTTCATCATGGTCAAGAAAATGTTTCGTCCACAGAAAAGTACATATTGCAATCCAATAAAGATATAGCATCAGTTAGTTTGGAATCATGAAATTCTGACGCAAACGTTTGAATACAAAATACCACAGTTATTTTTATTGCAGATTCCAAATGAAAAAAATTAGACATGAAATTATTTCAAAGCACTGTCTCTTGGAGGTTCAGTTCAAACAATTGAAAAAAAACTTTGCCTCTGATGAATCTCATTAAAAACTGCAGCACACTACGATATGCCATATTTGCTATTTTTTCTTGTCTGTGCTGTTAACCGCTAAAATTTCAAATCAACATTTTATTTCACCAGAAAATACATGAAATATTTTCCATCAACGTTGTTTTTCTCTATCGAGCAGTAACTTTTTAAATCTGGCCACTCGAAGGGCCAGGATAACTGAAATAGTGCACCCAGCTAAACTGCTTCCACCACCAGCAAAACCTATGGATTTTTCGGAGATCAAGGGGCCAGAAATCCCTGATGCCGAATATCTTAAAACTAAAGTGACGAAGCTGAGCAAAATGGTTTTGAGAATGGACTTAGGAGTGGATAAACTTTTTGATGAAAATATCCAAAGCCTTTGGAGTGAAATGTGCTCAATTCTGGTAGCTCTCCTTGGGGCAGATGAGGCCCCTATAGATGCTGACCAAAAAAAAAAAATTTTCAAAATATGTGAACAACTCAACAAAATAAGTGGCTGGTTTGAAATGAATCTAGAAAGCTGGTGGAAATCTGAGATGCCGGTTTTCCTGGAGACTTTGGGGGTTCCATTCCCAATTCTCTCCACAAAGGCGGCCACAGCAACTATGGCAGCCACTGCTCCAGCCAACAAACTTCCTACCTCTAAAGTGACCTAGAGGCAGAGATTGCATGGTACAGGACAGGGAAAAATCTCCTTAACCCAGAAGACCTAATTTCAGGCTACCAAAAAAGGGTGCAATCAACAAATTTCCAAAAATTGGAGGGAGATGAGACCCCCAAGGATAGCTTCCTAAGGGTGTGGAACAAATTTAGGGCCACACACAAAGCACCCAAAGCCCAGATCCAATCTTCCACCTGGATCCCCTCCTTCTTCTCCCCTTTGGAGGGCAGGCAAGAGCTCTAACCTCACCATTCAAGGGAAGAGACAAGGAAAAGGACTACGTCAAATTGGTTAAAATCCTATTTGATGAATACGGGAACATTACCCAAACTGCACAGAATTTATATTGGGAACTGGAAGCCATTCCATCCCCACATGAATCCTTGCAGGGGTATCTCAAATTTATGAATAAAGTTTGCTGGATTGTTACTAAACTCCAAGGGATAGTACGGAACATCAAAGAAATTGATGCAAGGTATGGCCCTTTGTTGAATCAAACATGACAAAGAACATGATGATTGACAATATTCTGGCCCTTGCCTCACCTGAAGAAGCCAACAATTGGAAGGAGAATCCAGAACAGAAATATTGGTGGATCCAAACAACAATAAAAAATCAAGCAGACCAAGAAAGAATGTTCTCCGGACCACAAACCTTGGCTTACAATGTCAATGCAAAACCAGATGGCAAGGAAAACCAACATCAAATGGAAACTGGGGAATTTTGAGGCAATACCATCCTCCCACAAACAAGAAATAACAAGTACTCCTGAGATGGCAATTGAGACAGAACTCAGGGAACTATGGGCCAGGATCAAAAGTGCCCATTTTGCAGGAAAGGTCACTTCCCCACAGCATGCAGAATGAACCTGGAAACCCAGAGGAAAAGCATTGCAAAAAATTCTCTCTACTATAATTGTCTCTCTGTCAATCATGGAGTGAGGGAATGTCACTCAAGGGGAAGATGCTGGACCTCTGGGAGGAAACATCACACCTCTATCTGCCCTGAACCATCAAAAAACTCCCATGGCAAAAACGGAAGACATGATAACAAGACTGAGCAAGCATTGTGGAAGGAACTCAAGGAGTTAAAATGGGCTATGCTCCAACCAAAGGAAATAGCACCTCAACAGGAAGCGAAACAGGAAAATAAGGTGGAAGAAGAAATTCCAACAGCTTGACTAGCAGAAGTGAGCATATCAGTGGCCAGAACATCAATCCCTAACTCTTTTCTTGAAACAGCCCAGTTGAAAACAGTCCCGTCAGAAGCTACCATTCATGCACTTCTGGACACGGGAGCTCAAATCTTGTTGATCACAGAGGAATGCATCAACCACCTGGGACTGAAGACAAAAAAATCTAACATTAAATATACCATCCTGGGAATTGATGGAGAGAGGTCAGGGTTACAATCTAAGGTTCTTGTTATGCTCACCCTTGGAAACAGAGTTGACATAACAAAGAATTTTGTCACAACTGCCCTTGTGGTACCAAGAGGATCACCATGGATGGGAACTAACCCAGCCATCCTCAGTTGGCTCAAATTCAAGCCTGACCTCTTGGCTGATCCTTGCATAACCTATACTAAATGAATCAGTTGCAATATCATCCTTGGGGGAAAGATCTACTCCCCCTATGCAAAGAAGGCCCCAAGAGACATCATGCATCAACAGAATTCTTTATACAGGACACCATAGTTGGAGGAGTTGCCTGCAGGACACAGGAGGACCAAGATCATGCTCAGATCCCAAGATCAAGGATCTTTACAGCACGTATAACTTGAAGTCAGAATGAGGACTACATGCTGAATACTGAAATATCCAAACATCTCCAATGAGATTGGTTGGATGTATTGGGGTTGGAAACTCTGACAACCCCATCCCTGCAACCAGAATTAGAAGAATATCTAAAACTACTATAAGTAAGGAGGGCAGGGTCATTGCACCCCTACCAAAAATGACCCCTTTCTAGAAAACTGCACCCCAAATCTTACAACCAGGGAGATCAGAAGCCGCAGTGTAATCCACATACTCAAACAAGGAGGAAAACTGGAGGAATCATACCACAGCCAAATTCAAGATTGGATAAGTTGGGGGGTAATCACTCCCACAACACTGGAAGAGCTTGCTGCACAAGGAATGCCCTACATGGAGCTACTGCATCATGAGGTTGCATGACCCGATAGCGCAACTACAACACTCTGGGTCATTATAAACAGAAACGCCATGGACCCAGGGAAGCGTACCACAAATGACTAACTGGATCAAGGGCCCAACATCCTCCCACTGATAACGGACATACTCTGCAAACTCCGCAATGCAAAACATTTTGGAGCTGCTGATATAAGGAAGGCATTCATCCAGGTGCAATTACNCAGGAAGACCAATGGCTACTCGTCATGAGATGGCCAGAAAGACAGTCAGATGGAACATTCAAAACAAAATTCTTCAAATTTCTTTCGCTTCCATGGAGCATCAACTGTGCCCCATTCATTCTGAATGCTTCTTTGTGATTCCTGCATCAAAAAGCTCATTCCAAAGGACATCTGATCAGACCCAAACTTCAGGACCTCAAAGCTAACACCTACATAGATGATGTTATCATGACTGGGGACACCATACAGGAGGTCAAGGAGAAATTAAGAAAGACAAAGGAAATTCTTGAGAAAGGAGGCTTTGACCTCACCAAAACCCAAATCCATCTGGACCCAGAGGCAACCAACAGGGAGAAGTTCAAAATTCTTGGGGTCACTTATAACCATGAAATTGACGGGCTGACAATCTGCCCATCAACAATCCTGGAACTTACTAAACCTGCCAGAATAAAAAAACGACAAGCCGCCGGAGGGATAGCAAGAATCTATGATCTAACAGGGTGGCACAATACTTTGCAATACTTATTTATAGAGTATATAGCAAAAAAAGATGATTTCATATTGCTTCACTTAATATTGTAACGCTTTCCCCTTTCCTACAATTAACTTTGCCAGAACATGTTGGAACATGGAATGCTACACGCTTTACAATGTGTAGCATTCCATTGAATGCTACACGTTGTAAAGCGTGTAGCATTCCATTTGGTACTGGAATTCTGTTTTGTTCTCTAACATTTTGTAACGTGTAGCATTCCAGCATGTTCTGTTACTTGCAGACTGTCACGGGTTGAACAGATGTTGCCCTCTGACACGCCGCTTTTCTCGGGACAACTAGATGTCGCCCGAGTCAGGAGTACAAACAGGAAAAGAAAAGATTGACGCAGCGTACAAAATGCCACGTCGTCTCAATATTCGAGAAGAAGAAAACCATCTTCTTCCAGAAGATGGTTATATAAAACCAGTTATGAAATATACATTTCTAAACAAAAATAAAAACAAGATTCCAAGGAAATCTAGCAAGAGACGAGCCTTGGAGATACTGATCTCCAGGGCCTATTCAACTGATGAATCAGCCCTGGTGATCAAAAGAATGATGAGGAATTCTGTGTGCACGCCAATCAGATATACATCAGTGGAAAGCCTTGAATAACCTTTCCACTAATGAGGATCAGTACCTCTTCATAACCACCTTCAGGAGCAGCCAGAATCAATCCAGACTTGACTGAAGAAGGAGCTAAATTTGTGTGTGCTAAATTATTGAACTTTGGACATTTGCTGAATATATTCAAACTTGAAGTTGAGGTATTGACCTCAGGCCGCAAACGGCTGATTGTGTTT